GCTGAAGTAGGATTGCCTCAGGTTCAAAACCAGCCTAGGCACAGAGTAAGACTGTCTCTGTAGTCAAACAACGGAAAGAATAAGAGGGCACAGAGAAGTCTTCCGCACATGTGAATTGTTGCTATTGGTTACTTGGCATCCATAGCGCCTCCAGGATGGCTCAGCACGTGACAGCGTCTGCCAACCAAATCAGACGACCTGAGCTTGATCCCCAGACCCTCTGACCTCCACACACCACACACGTGCCCTGCCATTCGAACCCACCCACATATACAATAAATAAATAAATATGTAAATAAATAAAAATGTAGACTTTTATTTAAAAATAATAATAAGTGGTATTCATGGGTATTGATTAAATTTGACAGCCATAAAAGAGGAAGAAATTTTAATTCTCACCATTTTTATTGGAGGACAACCTTGTGTGGCATTTTACTCTCTGGCTCATAGCTAATAAAAATCAGATGCTAAATACATCAGTGTTGGAACTTCTGTTCTATGTCAAAAAAAAAAAAAACCCTCATAGGACACAAAATCAGTCACAGTCACATTACTTTTAAAAACCTTAGAAATTTTTCATTAGAATTTACTTAGTCTTTAATATAAGTAACAATATGAAACAAAACTTTTCTTTTTTCTTTCATTATTTTGCTCTTGCCACAATTCACAAATTGAGAGGAAACCAAAGGAAGCAATGGAAGATAGAATATTTATGTATATAAATTACATACAGATGTATAATTTGAGACCTATTGAACAGTTAAAACCTGAAAAAAATGTGTGATTTTTACAGTGCATCAAGACCTATGTAAGTCTAAGAGGTGTGTAAGAATAATAATTTGACCTTATCAGACTTATATCCTGGTTGTACTAATTTAAAAATCTCAATTTCATGTCACCCTTTTTATAACCTTGTGGATTTACTGTCATTTTGCTCTTGTCCTTGTAACTATTTAGAACATTCATTTCTTTGTATATGAGAACTAGCTAGTTCATCAAAAGTAGAGGTATGAATCCACACTCTATTCCTAAATTATGTAAAAGCACGAATTATTTTTACTTGATAATAATGAAGTTAATATCATATAAATAGGCCTGTTCTTAATGAGTTAAGAGAGTGAGGGCTACAGCACTGGAATGGACTGTGTTGAATACACATTACCTTTAATATTTATGGCAGCTTTGGTTTCTGGTTCATTTTTTCCTAATGTTTGACATCTAATAAACAACTTGTCTACAACTTAAGTATATAAAACAACCAATAGAGAGTTCTTTCTGCAACTCCATCCTTTATCAAGCTTTATTCTTCCAGACAGCTTTCCCTGTGCCTTAATATTCCAGCTCAGTGCCAGGCAGTTAAGGACAGCTCTCCATTCCAGAGCCTGTTATTGTTGGTTAAATTAGTCAGTCTTGTGTCTGTTTACCAACTTTCCTATTCCTTCCCACAAAAGGCTCATTAAAGGCCCATATGTCACTGTACTCCCTCTGCCTCATGAATGGCATGGCACTTCCCACAACACCCTGCATGGCATGCCGCTCCTTCCTGTGCAGTTGTGAGGAATGAAGTATGTCTTCAGTGGTGGTTGCCTCCTGATCCGTTGGCCTTGCCACGTCTGAGTCATAATAAAACCGCACGGTACAGCACCAGAAAATGTATGTGTGTGTGTGTGTGTCGTGAGAAAGACCAGAAGTGGTTGTGTTTTCTTAACAATATTAACTATCTGTGCAATAAGCTCTTTAAAACTCATGACATCCTGATGCTCTACTGATAGCTTCCCATGAGCACATTTCAAACAGATGCAGTTCTCCATTCAGGATAATGTTTTATACTCTTCAGATACAATATGTATTTTCATTTATAATTCAAGTTATTTGACCTTCAAAGTAGTAACTAATTCCTTTTTGTTTTCTATTCTAGTGAAAAATTCAAGAAAACTTTATCATACAAGGTAACCTTATTAAAAAGACCTGGATGTGTTCTGAATATACGTTATTTGTGCATTTGGCTTTTGTTTTATTGGAGATAGGCTCTCACCTTATATCCTGGAACTCATTATTTGACCAAGCTGGCTTCAAATTCGTGGTCGCCTCAGTCTCCCAAGTACTGGGACTATATACATGAACTTCTGTGACTTCTTCCTGAACAACTTTTGACCCTTCCGATATTTTTCCATCTCAGATTTTGTCTTCTGTAATCTACAGACATATTGAGTTGCTCAAAAATATCCAATATGGCCTTTTAAAAATTTCAAGTCCAGATTAATTATTTGACTAGTGAATTAGATCTGGGAAGGACAAGAGATTTTTTTTCCACCTTCTTACACACATTAACATGTTAGCTGGCATGGTAAATGCTGCCAGAGCTGAGAGATTCTGGCCAGGGACAGAAGACAGCTGTGACAGCAGCAGTAGCCAGAGTCTCATTATCTCCCAGCTGACTCCCCTCCCTGAGGCCCTCTTCCCAGGATATGGACCTGCTCTCACCTGCAGAGGGAAACTGTTTTCAAGGCTGTTCACTCTAATGATGGGCTTGGAAAGATAATCCAGAATACAGGGAAATTGTTCTAGAAAGAGGGCTCTGCTGGCCACATCCAAGTTTCCCAGATTCTCCATTACCCTTGTCAGTTATATTATTTTTATTGTTCTTAAGTTATGAACCTTTGAGGAATAAAACAAATCAAATAAAAGAGGTATTTGATGGTGAGCTACCCACACGTAGATCTTAGGATGTTTGTCCCAGAGTTTGTCACCCCCTGGCTTTGAAACGACAGTCAATTCTTGCCTACAGAAACTCAAGAAATACTTGGAGGCCTGTCTCCTAAAAGTCGAGATAGTTTTAACAACTGTTCAATAACATGACATATATAATCTAAGAAGTAATATTTGAGCTAAATGCAAAGGTAATTCTGTTAGAGTTTAGTAGTTAGTTTGCATTTAAGTTCAGTTAATTCCACTTTTTACGTAGACCCACTGGAACGTAGTTTCATTATGTGGACCAGTCCTACATTTCAGTACTTTTACTCCCTCCATCTAACAATGAAGTACTGCCTCTTTAAACATTCATTTCTACCACTCTAAGGGCCTTTATGCTTCCTAAATGCCCACTCCCAGCTCTGTCTCCCACCCTACCTATTGCCCTCCCCCCCTCCCCATGCACAGCTCTCCCCTCCCCTCTCCCCTGCACACAGAACACTTGAGAGAGAGTTCTCATCTCACACTTTGCTCCGGAATCAGAACCTTGCTATCTTCTCTGGCCAGATTAGAAGTGTTCATATCCTAGGGAACTTCTAGATTTAGAGGGCAAGCATTAGGAGCCCCCCCCCACCCCAATCCTTCACTGACAGGTTCTACTTGTGACAAACAAAAGTGGGGAGGGAGCTGGGCTGGTGAGGGGAAGGGTACCCTTAGTCTTACTTCCTGGAGAAGAAGTTACAGTAGTAAAGGGGAGAAGAAGCAGAGAGCAGAAGCGCCCCCCACCCCTGCCAGCACCCCAGTTCATAGTGTTTATCTACTGTTACTCCAGCCCTCCCAGGATCTGCTCGGCCACCAGCCCTCAGAGGTTTGGGGTTGAAGCCTGAGATATGTCATCCCTTCCTGGATGCCATGGCAAAATGTTACCCCGTTATTTCCTAGGACTTCATTTCTTAGTGTTCTCACATTTTGAGAACATCTGCATGTGGCCTGCTCTTTCAGAACCTTTTCCTAAAGAGAACAGAAGTAATTCTGGAGAGGGATGGTAAAACTCAAGCCCAGAGCATTGAACCCCACCTCAAGCTCTGATTGCTTCAATATTACCTTTGCTTATAAGCAATGGGTCTGTTTAGAAACTCCATGGAGACAAAGGGAGTACTTATTCTTGCTTCTTCAGATCCAATAATTCTAAATTCTTCTGTTCCTTTTTGATGCCAGCAAATTTGTGGAGGCTTTGTAAATGTATTTATTCAAACCACTGTATTTCCTGCCCTTTGCCATTAAATTTTATAGTGACTATTAAAATGTTTTAATACATAAGGGTTAAGAGAAAAAAAATACCCTTATTACAAAAAATTAAGAAAAAAAATAATTGCCACAAACATTTCACTTACCTGATAGAAAAATAGAGGCTTCACATTCAGAGGCTGAGACAACAGGGTTACAGGTTTGAGGCCAGCCTACTAGGAAGACTGAGAGAAGAAAATAGAGCGGGGGGAGGGGGGACCATTTAAACTTAAGGTGCAGAGTACTGAGAATCAGAGTCTTGAGTTCACCCTGTTCACTGAACCTATAGGTGGGGCCATGTTTCCACTCCAGACCTGCAGCTGCTCTAGGTGTCTAAGGAGTCCTGGCCTCTTTCTCCTCATGTAGGATGAGAAGCCACATCAAGCATCTTCTTAAAGTCCCACCCAAGAGATTCAGATTACCTTTAGAAAGGAAAGTTAAGAAAGTATAATTGCAAAATGTAACTGTCTTGTCCTGATCAGAGGATGTAACAACTTGGTAAAATGGCTTGAGGTTTTTCTCCACATCTGTCCTTAAGAACTGCCTCTGAAGAACAGTCAACTTGAGGGGGAGAAGTTGCTGAGTAGACGATTCTTAGGGTTGCTCTTTTCAGCCATTCAATTCTGTGCAGTAGTTTTTATTAAATGAGGCACTGCTGAACCCCAGAAAAGCATGTCATTGTTTCCTCTGTCTGTCTCTGAGTTCCTTTTACAACCCTGAAGCACTAAGTTGGAATAAACCTACATTCTTTTCATGCTCCTTTTAGGAACACATGATTCTGTGCAGATTTGCAGATCAGACAGCTGTTCAGCTCCCACCCCAGAGAAGACTCATAGGTATGTGTTTTCACCGAACAGCTGCTGGGGAGAGTACATCCCCTATGCCTGGGAACAAGTGGATAGGGTCTACTTGGGGAAAACTACTGGTCCATTTATCATTAAGAAAACATGTTCTTCCGGGGAACTATAATGCGCATAACAGGGCTTTATAACTGTAACAGCATGTCACATCTTGGTTAGCATCTGTGTCTTTAAATCCATTTCAGTGTCGTACACTGAATAGATTTCACAAAATCTTTTCTACTGTTAGGAATTTCAGAATCTACCCAGTCACAAAGAAAATGATAAAAATGTAAATGTCAACTCCATGTGCCAAAGTTGAGTCATGAAAAATGTATAAAGAATGAGAATGTGTCTTTCTTAGACAAAAGTATACTTACACACAGATATATTCAGCATTTGCAGTATTGAACATTACCCAGGTTAAAAGACCACAGAACCATTCCAAGTATTATAATAGCAACTGTTATCACACACACATAAATGAGATGCAATCACTTACATTTTACTGAGGACAGGAGTAAGGCAAAGTCTGCCTGACATTCCTCATCTGACAGATGCTAGAGCCACACTAGGACCTCAGATTATTTGGTTCTAGACACAGAGCTCTTGTTCACTTCTGCAGTACAGCTTCTCAGCTTCTTTCATAGCACCAAAAGTTTTGGGTCTAAAATAGGGATTACGATAAATGGGTGGGATGAAGTCACATCTTAATTTTTTTTCTTAGAAATCCCACATTGGTTACTGTCATACACTCTAAAATTCCATGTGTACTTGAGTAGACTGTCATTTCTTTGAGCCCAGTGAAGTAGTTTATATTCAAGAAGATGTTATATGGTACATAATTACCTTTTCATTCTAAAGCAAGGTGCTCACACTAGGAAAGGCGCTGAGATGCAGCTAAGGGACTTCCCTTCCTGTTCTCACTGGGCCCAGAACTGCCATCTCTTGCTTAAGTGATGTTAAGTGTCACTACAACTTTCATTTTTTTTTCTGTTCTTCCTTCTGATTTCCCATTTCTGATTTTTTAAGTCAGTGTAATGTACCCTTGTTATAATTACACCAGATGTGTGTCTTGGTCTGTATAGGCTTAGTCTTTACAAGCAAGGGAAACTGATGGTCCACATTTCTAGAGATCAGGGTGTTAATCTGCTGGGTGTCTGCTTGCAGAGTCATGACAATATAGACAGTATCAAATGCCAAAGGAGAAGGTACATCAGCAGTGAGTGGGAGAGAGAGCACAAGAGCGAGCGAGTGAGCGAGCACAGGCCAGCAGTGGAAGGGAGCGCCTTCATATAAGGACACAGGGAATGCTTTCATGAGATGGTTGGAGTCAAACATGTCTCTTTGTAAGAAATTCACAATAATGGGCCCACCCTACAGTAACAGCCTGCATTCACCTCATACTAATGGCCTAACTCTGGCTTCTTGGGGCTTACATCCTAGCACAGTTGCACTGGAGATTATGTTTCCAGAGTGTGCTTTTGGGGGAACACATAAACCATAGTCATGGTTGGTGCAGGGGATAGATGTGACCATTGTCAGTCAGTGTGAGTTTTAAGTGTCAGGTGAGAGCAATGACTAGAAGGGAAATTGCCAGGGTTGGGGCCGAAGCACATCTGGCAAGATTGCTGAAGGGAAGCGGCAGGGTAGGGGGGAAGAAGGCCGAAGCACATCTGGCAAGATTGCTGAAGGGAAGCGGCAGGGTAGGGGTTCAGACAACCCAGAGTCTGTCACAGATCTTGCCACTTCCATATTAATGAACATTTTTAGAAAATTTACCAACCCCCAAAAGATAGATTGCCAACAACTGAAAGTTGTAGTGACACTTAACATAGGAAAATATGAACTTCTTCTACAAGATGAAAAAGGAAAACTTAACTGTACTGGGATTAGAGCCAAGAGTCAGTGAGCTGCCTTGTAAAGCCAGGGTGGGTCCTGAAGGAATGTAGAGCATCCCGTTCTGACTGGGATGTTTCCTTTTAACTGAAAAGTAGATGGGAGCATTCACACGGGTCTTAAAGAAGAAGGTATTTTAAAGGAAGAAAGAGACCAGCCTTTTACCTGTTGGTGAGGAGGTGGTTTTTCTAAATGGAATTCTAGATACCTCTTTTGTATCAGTTTCTAACACACTTAATCTTCATGGTGTGTGAGTCCTTTTAAGGTAGAGAATAATACCAACCTTGTGAATCTGTCTTGTTTATTTTTCCTTGCTCATTTCATCTTTCCCTGTTTTTGTTTTATCTGAGAGCATCCCATGTTTTACCCGAGAGGTTTTTTTGTTTCAGTGATGTGTCCTCACTGCTGACGTCACTTCAGCAGACTCCAGCTAAGCGACCATATTGTAAAAGCATGTTTAAGCATTATAATTGTCAAAGAAAAATGGAAGGAGGGAGATTCTGCTATCAGTAACCTCTTCCAAGAAAATGAAAATTTAGATATTGAATGCTGAACAGTTCAGATTATAAAAGCAAATGGTGGCTTTAATTTAGTAAACCTCAAATCATTTTTTTTTCCTAATCTACTTTTGAAATTTTAAATTTGTACTTCCAAAGGAAAACTAACAAGCTGCCTGCTTGACAGTCGGGTTTCCTCTTTTGTTTCTCAAACATTGCAAAGGAAATAGAAAACCAGGATCTCAGTGAGATGAGGGCTGAAAATGAGTACAGTCATACCTAGCATTACATTTCTGCCTGAAATAACTAGCACACTCTTAAGATTTTCTCAGATATTTTTCATTTCATATTTCTTCATAATCCTGTAAAACTACAGGTAGAAATATGACATGTGTTTCAGATGGCGCTTTGTCAATATATTACTTTAGATATTCTCAGAGACAGGTTTTTTTAGAATATTACTAATAATGTGACTTTATAGGAATGCAGAACTATTATAATCCCTATAAGTATCCTGTAAAATGGATTTTGACCAAAGTATCAAGTAGAATGTGCAGCTGCAATTTGAGATATACTTATCACTATGCTTTTAAAAGTTAGCCTTCTGTAAATTACTAGCCAAGATAAATCTGTGAAGTGTGTCTTCACACTGGTCAAAAGCTAAGCTTAAAGTAAACTGTACTGAAGGATGTTGTCACTGAAGATTCCTGTGTCTGCATGGAAATGGCATAGCTATTAAGGTGTCTCAAGATGCATTTCTTTGTTTCAGGGAAGAAGTGCATGTGCCTGGTGGATATGGACCGCGCAACCGCTGCGGAAGAGCACGGCTACTCTGTTCAAGTGCTATCTATGGAGCCAGAGAGCTGCTCTCCCAAAAATAACATGATTGTGGGTGTCCCCGTTTAGAATGAGGCTCTTGTTCTTGATGTTTTGCCACTGGCTTCCTGGTGAAAGCCCAGGGGCATGCAGGGAGTTCTTGGTGTCTTACTGGAAGCAAAGCTGGGCATCTCAAACCCGCCCAGGGTTACAGGGAATCTTGGAAAAGGGACTTTGACTGTGTGTGCAGACGCATGGATGACTGGCTTCCTAGAGGGAATCCCTTCCCTGAAGCCTCAGCTGCCAAACAAATCATTCTCACTGGCCAAGTTTCCATCAGCAGAGCCATTTCCTCACACATTTTCTTGATTGTGTCAGTGGGATATTCAAACCAAGTTATGTTCTCAAAGCCTTCATTTTATAATCTTGAGGTATTCACACATGGTGATCAAAAGTAAACTCAAAGGTGGTTGTGGTTTTTATAGTTTTAAAAAACAATGTACCTTTTCTAATATTTTTAATCTAGAATGGTAAATGTAGTGTGACTTTTTAATCTGAATTTGTGTATCATGGAATATACTTCTTTTAAATATATGTCCCATAAATTATCAAATGAGATTATTGCTGGTTCTAACACTTCATGTGAAAATTTATAAGTCAATTACACTAAACTATACATCATAAAGGTGAAATTTAGGTATAATTTTAACTAAGTAGTAAATATAATCATTATTTAATTTCAGCATATAGTTAACCAATGCTGAGATCTGTGATTTTCAAGACCTTGGCCTAGCTTTTTCTGAAAATACAAGAATGAATTACATACCAAATGAGATCTTCTAGATCTAGGAGAGAAAAAACAAAAATTAATTAAGTTCTATATATTATACCTTAATGTGTGGCCTTATGTTTGAGTGTGCGATGTGCAGACTCTGGCTTAGTGGTGCTGTCTGCTACATTTTCTTTGCAGCAGCTAGCTTTAATGACAGACCCAGACAGCTCTCTCTTGTGCTGCTAACTTTATGACCAAAGTGTCAGAGTTGATAGTTTATCTTGATGTTTTCATATCTAACAAAGAAGACCTTAAGGACTTTATTTGACTGCCACTTTAAATACAGGAATATTTTGTAAGACAATGTAGATGGGGAGGAGGCTTTTCGGTTTTATGAGATGAGTTTATTTAAGATGAGAAAATCATCAGGTCTAAGTATTTCATACATTCATATCTGTCACTACAACTTACTCCTTTTTTAAATTGAGGTATAACTTGCATATGATGTAATATATAGATTTTTATTGTTATTTAACTGAAAAACTTTGCATACAATATATTCAGATCCTGATTCCCCTCCTCCCAGATTCTTCCCATGCATCCACCAAATTCCACCCCTTTCTCTATCTCTTTAGAAAGCAATCAAACAAAAAAATTAGAATAAAAGAAGAAACAAAAAAAACAAAAACATAAAATATTGGAAACTATAGTATACAAGCAGAAGACCAATAAAACAAAAAAGCTTAGTTTAAAAAAAGAGTACATCAATTTGAAGGAGAGCAGAGAGGGTTGGGAAGGAGGAAAGGAAAGGAGGCCTGTTGTAATCAAATTATAATCTCAAATGCCCAAACAAAACAACAGGAGACAAAAGTGTCTACAAAAATACCATTGAGTTTGTTTTGTGTTGGCCATCTATTGCTGGGCATGGGGCCTGTCTTTGGGTTTCTATTGCTATGAAGAGCCATGACCACAGCAACTCTTATAAAGGAAAACACCTAATTAGGGGCTGGTTTTACAGTATTAGAGGTTTAGTCCATTATCAGAATGGCAGGAAGCAGGGTATTACACAAGCAGACATGGTGCTGGAGACGTATTGAGTTCTACATCTTGATCCAGAGGCAGCAGAAGTGAATGCCACACTAGGCCAAGCTTGAGCCAGTTCTGAGACCTCAAAGCCCACCCCCACAGTGCCACTTCCTCCAACAAGGCCACACCTACTCCAGCAGGGCTGGAGCTCCTAACGTTCCAAACATTCAAACACATCAGTCTGTGGGGGCCATTCCTAGTCACACCACCCCAGGGCCTGTCCTTCAGTGTGGTTAATATACCTAGTGGGACTCCACTGGAGAAAACCCTGCAGATAGCTTCTTCATTATGTGTGGGAGCCTCATCTGGCTTGACCCTGTGCATGCTGCTACAGTCTCACCTACTCCAGCAGGGCTGGAGCTCCTAACATTCCAAACATTCAAACACATCAGTCTGTGGGGGCCATTCCTAGTCAAACCACCACAGGGCCTATCCTTAAGTGTGGTTAATATACCTAGTGGAACTCCACTGAAGAAAACACTGCAGATAGCTTCTTCATTATGTGTGGGAGCCTGTGTCCACCTCCCTCTGTCAGTTTTGGGAGCCTCATCTGGCTTGACCCTGTGCATGCTGCTACAGTCTCTTTGAGTACATATATGTTTCAGTCCTGTTGTGTTGGCTTTTATAACCTTTCCACTTTCTCTTCCCATGGCTCCCTATGCCCTGAGAGGGCAAGTTTGATAAGGACTGTGTGTTCCAAAATCTCTCAGTCTCTGTATACTGTCCAGCTGTGGGGCCCTGTACCTTTTCTGAAAAGCAGTGCATGTAGGTGCATGGATCTAATTTTGAATTCACTGATCTGTTTGATTATTTTGTTTATCTCAATTGTCAAAACTTTATAGAAAAATCTGAAAATTGGTTGGATTTTTTTTCACCATTTTACATTGCTTTGGCTGCATTAGGACTATTGTATTCCTACAAAAATCTCAGAATTAGTTTCTCAATTTATTTTTAATTCTTATAAAAAGAACAGTTGGGAATTTTAATACTGATCTTGGGAGATCTATTTGTGGACATTGAACATCTTAATACTGGATCTGTAAGCATGAATATAAGACAACAGTTTCCATATTTTCAAGTCTCCTTTAATTACTTGGTAATATTTTCTCATTTTCACTGTAGAGGAATTTGTGTTTACCTGTGGGTTTGATGCTGTTCTCACTACCCGAAGTAATCTTTTTTACCCTTCCACTAGTGCAAGCTCACTCATTCTCGTGTTTTGAAAGAAGTCTTTCCCACCCTCTCTGGAGCTGAGGAACCTACTACAGAATTCCTAACATCAAAGGAATGATGGTAGTCCTCAGATGACTCCAGGCATCCCTCCCTTCCAGGATCGAAAGCTTGTATAATAATTATAGAGGGAAAAACAAAACACAAAGAAAGGAAGGGACCCCACTGAGCTCCCACACTTCTTCTCAGCATGGCATTCACCTGTGATGGTTGTGGTTGGTAATAGATATTGGTGCTGTGATTGCTCATTTAAAATAATTTTTGTTATAACTGAAAACATAGCCAAGACTCTTTCTCATCCAGGACAAATAAAAGGAACTGGGATCAAGCAAGAGAAAGATGGTTGCAATGACAATAATTTCAGCAAGTGACCTGGTCTCACCCCAAAACTGCCCCCCCCCACCATCTGTGTCTTCCAACAGAGCTCATCTTTCATTGACTTCTGGGGTTGACTCAGAGAGGCAGGGCTGTAACTAGTAATAGCTAGGCTACTTCATCTTATCTGGGAGACAAGTTTCAGTCATACAGGAAATCAAAATATTTTCAGGACCCACAGACAAAATAATAAAGTGATAAATATTTAGTCTCATGGTTCAAGAGAATTTGCAATGAACAGAAATTTCCAAAAAAAAAAAGCTATGTGCCTGAGAAATAGTTAAAAGCATGTACTGTTCTTGAAGAGGAACTAAGGTTGGGTCCCAGCATCAACACTGGGCATCTCAAAATGCTCGGAACCCCAGCTCCAGGGAATAAAATGCCCTCTTCTGGCCTCTGGGAGCACTTGCACTCATGTCATATACCCACATACAGGCACAGGCATGTAAAAAATCAATAAGGGTAGAACAAGCTTTGCTACATTCTTCACATTTCCAGGGGTTCTCTGCAATATGAAATCTATGCAGGTAATTTTAAAAGCCCCATGATCTTTAAATTGCAAACACTTTAAAAGTTCAGTCTCTAAAGCATCTAAGTCTCTTTCAAAGTTCAAGCCTCTCTAAAATATCCACTCTTTCTAAAAATACCAAGCCTTTCTAAAACTCCAGAATCTGTAAAAGTTCAGAAACAACTGTGGGCTCCTATAAAATCAAAATAAGTGGAATCCTTCCTTACTCCATGAGGGAAGAAGCAGTGTGAAAAGTTAAGTGCTTAATGCCTGGAACCCACCCATGAGCTTCTGGGCTCCAAAGGACCTGTGCAGCTACTTCCATTTCTCTGGCTCTGCCATCACAGCACACATAGCTCATCTCATAGGATCAGTCTGGCTCCACCCCATGGCTGCTTCTGTTCTTGGTGGTGGTCCCATGCTACTGGCATCTCCAAAACATGGGGATCTCCACCGCAGCTGGGCTGACTCTTCTCACTAGTGTCCACTAGGCTCTCTGCAAGCCTCAACTTCTCTGCATGATGCCTCAATCCCAGGGCTTTTACTGCAGCTAAGACTGCACCTTCACCAATAGCCTCTTATGATCCAAGCCCCAGCTTCTCTCAGTGACTCCTTCCTGTCTTCAAAATCAATAGCACCTGTGAAACTTACAAATTAAAAAATTAGCTAAGCATTCAAATCTGTTTTCCAATACTTATGAAAGAAACATTACATGTGTGTGCATGCAGACACACATGTACTTTTATGTAGGGCACACGTCTATGATGAGTGTCTTCCTCAAATGCCCTCTGCCTTATTTTTGGAGACAAGGTCTCTCACAAAGCTTGCACCCATTGATTCTACTAACTGGCTACCAGTGAGTTTATGTGTATAATTATGATAACTCCCTTGCTGGAATTTTAGCTTTACAATATCTCATTTAGGATCCAGGATTATAGTTACGCTATTTAAATTAGTATCTGGCACATATAGGAACTTCATAAATATAAAGTAAGCAATGTATTCTAATCCCTTCCCTAGTGGGGAAACAGATATTTATTACTTCATGTGTATTTAATGTTTGTTTACATTGGGGTGGGTGTTGTTTAATATCCTTAAAATCTATCAATTCAGTCCCATTCTAAAGAAGACTGAGGGTGTGATAGTTACTCTGTTATACCATCTCAATCATTTTTATGAAAAGGATACTGGACAGTTATATTCCCTGTTTGTGGAAGAAAAAACAGAATAAGCTTACGCTGAAGTGAAGAGAGAAATGTCTCCACAAATGTCTGTTTGGTGTTTGCCATTGTGAGCCTGTCCTGGTATAGAGCATAGTTCAAGCTAGTTGCTTATGAGTAGCCAGTGATTAAAATATTCTGAATTACCATCAAGGAAATAAAACACAGGATGTAGAGTACACAGAGATATGTCACAACCACTCTTCAATGAGAAAAGTGTGCTCCTCATATGAGGGAGAACCAGACATCAGGCTGCATCTCAGTAGAGGTGAGGACCCCAAGACAAGTTTCCTGCTGTGCCTTGAACAGTCAGTTCCATTATTTGCCAATAACAGGTAGTTATAGTTTAGGAATACTGTACATATTCTCAGAACACCTTTATCTCTAATTTTTTCTTGATAATGAGAAAAATAAGCTAGAACTTCTT